TACTTGTTCTTTCTTGTCTTTCTGGTGATAGCCATTGTTAACCCTTGTGAAGTGATACCTCACTGTGATTCTGATTTGCATTTCTCTGATGATGAGTGATATTGAGCATCTTTTTATGTACTTAACTTGTTTGTATGTCTTCTTTGGGAAAATTTCTGCTCATTTCCTCTACCCATTTTTAAGTCAGTTTTTGGTTTTGGTTTCTTTTTTACTGAGTTGTAAGAGTTCCTTTTATGTTTCAGGTATCAATGTCTTATCAGATATATGATTTGCAAATATTTTCTCTACTCTGTAGTTTGATTTTTTCATTTTGTTAATGGTTTCTTTTGATATGCAGTGATTTGCTGTGCCTTTGTTGTCATACTCAAAAAATCATTGGCAGGATCAGTGTCAAGGACCAGCGTTTTCTTCTAGAAATTTTATGGTTTCAGGTCTTATGTTTAAAAAGTCCTTAGTCCATGTGGAGTTAATTTTTGTGAGTGGTGTTAAGGTAGTGATACAGTTTATATATGCAGTTATCCTTCTGTGTGTGATTATCTGTTTTTTCCAATATCATTTATTAAAGCCATTATCCTTTCCCCAGTGAAAATTCCTGGCTCCCTTGTCAAAAATATTAATTGTCCATATATGCCAGGATTTATTTCTGGGTCCTTGATTCTGTTCCACAGGTCTAAGTATTTTTACGCCACTACCATACTGTTTTCGATTACTGCAGTTTTGTAGTATAGTTGGAAATGAGAAAGTGTGATACCCCCAGCTTTGTTCTTTGCTTTGGCTATTCAGGGCCTTGGTGGTTCCATACAAATTTCAGGAATTTTTTTCTATTTCTGTCAAAAATGCCGTTGGAATTTTGATAGGAATTGCATTTAATCTGTAGATTGCTTTGGGTAGTGTGGACATTTTAATATTAATTCTTCCAGTTCCTTAACATGGAATATCTTTCCATTATATCTTCATTCTTTTTCATCTTTCAGTTTTCAGTAAATGGAATCTTTCACCTTCTTGGTTAAGTTTATTCCTAAGTACTTTATTGCTTTTGATGCATTGTGATTGGGATTGTTTTATCTCTTTTTCAGATATTTCTTTGTTAGTATACAGAAACGTAACTGATTTCTATATCTTGACTTTATACCATAGAGCTTCCCTGAATTTGTTGATTAGTCCAGACAACTTTTTGGTGGAGTCATTGGGATTTGCTACATAAAAGATGAAATCTGCAAACAAAGACAGTTTTACTTCCACCTTTCCAATTTGGATGCCTTTTATTCCTTTTTCTTGCCTGAATGCCCTGGCTAGGACTTTCAGTACTGTATTGAATAGGAGTGCTGAGATTGGGCACCCTTACCTTGTTCTTGAACTTAAAAGCATTTAGCCTCTCACTGTTGATGATGAGATTAGCTGTGGTCTTGTCATACATGGATACCTTAATTATGTTGAGGTATGTTCCTTCTGTACCTAATTCATTGAGAGCTTTTATTGTGAAAGAATGATAGTTTTGTCAAATTTTTTTTTCTGTGTTTATTAAGATAATCCTATGATATTTATCTCTTACTCTGTAATACCACATTTATTGACTTGCATGTGTTGTGACCATTCTTGCATCCAGGGATAAATCCCACTTAATTGTGGTGTATGAACCTTTTCAGATGCTGTTGAGTTCAGTTTGCAGGTATTTAGTTGAGGATTTTTGCATCTATGTTCGTCAGGGTGATTGGACTTTAATTTTCTTTCTTATGTCCTAATCTGACTTTGGCGTCAGGATTATGCTGGCTTTAAACAGTGAATTTGAGGGTGTTCCCTGTTTCTCATTTTTTTGGGAGAGCTTGAAAAGGATTGGCTTTTAACTCATTAAATGTTTGATAGGATTGTCCAGGGAAACCATCTGATCCTGGGCTTTTTTTGGGGGGAAATTTTTGACTACTGATTCAATATTCTTACTTATGTTAGTCTGTTCAGATTTTCTGTTTCTTCTTGATGTCAGCATGTTGTGTACATTTCTAGGAATCTACCCATTTCTTACAGGTTATCCATTTTGTTGGTGTATAATTATTCATGATAGTCTCCTATGATCCTTTGTATTTTTGTAGTATCAGCTATAACGTCTTCTTTCATTTCTAATTTTATTTGAGTCTCTTCTTTTTTTCTTAGTCTAACTAAAGATTTAGCATTTTGGTTTATTTTTTCAAAAAACAACATTTAGGGTTTTGTTTTTTGTTTTTTTTTTTAAGATTTTATTTATTTGTCAGAGTGAGCACAGGCAGACAGAGTGGCAGGCAGAGGCAGATGGAGAAGCAGGCTCCCGCTGAGCAAGGAACCTGACGTGGGACTCGATCCCAGGACGCTGGGACCATGACCTGAGCCAAAGGCAGCGGCTCAACCAACCGAGCCACCCAGGCGTCCCACAATATTTAGTTTTGTTGATATTTTGTATTTTTCTGATTTCTGTTTCATTTATTTCTGCTCTAATTTCTGCCAACTTTTAACTTTGTTTGTTCTTCATTTTCTGTTTCCTTGAGTTGTAAAGTTAGATTGTTTATTTGAGTTTTTTTTTAATATGTAGCATATTTAGGCATTTATCACTATAAACTTCCCTCTCAGAACTGCCTTTGCATCATCCTGTAGGTTTTGACATGCTGTTGTTTCCATTTGCTTTTATTTCAAGATATCTTTCGATTTCTTCTTTGACCCATTGGTTTTTCAGGAATGTGTTTTTTAATTTTTCACATATTTGTAAATTTTCCCATTTTCTTTCTGTTATTGATTTTTTTTGTTTGTTGCCATTTTGGTCAGAAAGAAAGTTGGTACAATTTCAGTCTTCTTAAATTTGCTAAGACTTGTTTTGTAACCTTCCATATGATCTATTCTAGAGAAGGTTTTATGTGCACTTGAGAAGAATGTGTAGTCTTTTGCTATTATGTGGAATTTTTTGTATATTCTTGGATCTATTTTAGCTAAAGTGTAGTTCAGGTCTAATGTTTTATTTCTCATTTTCTATCTGGATGATTTATTCTTTAAAGTTAGGTATTGAAGTCCCCTAGTATTATTTATTGTTGTGTAATCTCACTTCAGATCTACTTTTATTTGCTTAATATACTTAGGTGCTCTAATATTGGGTGCATATTTATTTGTCATTATTTTATCCTCTTGATGAATTGACCCTTTATCGTTAGAAAAATAACCTGGTCACTTGTTAACAATTGTTGGCCTGAAGTCTATTTTTTTTTTAAAGATTTTATTTATTTGATAGAAATCACAAGTAGATGGAGAGGCAGGCAGAGAGAGAGGAGGAAGCAGGCTCCCTGATGAGCAGAGAGCCCAAGGCGGGGCTCGATCCCAGGACCCTGGGATCACAACCTGAGCTGAAGGCAGAGGCTTAACCCACTGAGCCACCCAGGCACCCCGGCCTGAAGTCTATTTTTTCTGATACAAATGTAGCTACCCCTGCTCTCTTTGGTTTCTGTTTGCATGGAATATCTTTTTCCGTCTCTTTACATTGAGCCTGTGTGTCCTTAAAGCTGAAGTGGGTCTCTTGTAGGCAGCATATAGTTGGGTCTTGCTTTTTCAATCCAGCCAGCTACTTTCTACCTTTTGCCTAGAGAATTTGGTCCGTTTACATTTAGAATAATTGTTCGTAAGTAAGGACTTTACTTATACCGTCTTACTAGTTGTTGTCTAGTTATTTTTTAGTTCTCTTTTTCCTTTCTCCCTCTCTTGCTGCCTTCTTTTGTGACTTGATTTTCCATAGTGGTATTGTTTAATTTACTTTTCTCTATCTTTTGTGAATCTAACATAGATTTGTGCTTTGTGGTAACCATGAGGCTTATGTAAAATATCTTAACACTCTATTTTGGTATGGTATAACAACTAAACTTATATTACATACAGAAACTCTACTTTTGGGGTGCCTGGGTGGCTCAGTGGGTTAAGCCTCTGCCTTCAGCTCAGGTCATGGTCTAAGGGTCCTGGGATTGAGCCCCTCATCAGGCTCTCTGCTCAGCAGAGAGCCTGCTTCCTCCCTCTCTCTGCCTGCCTCTCTGCCTGCTTGTGATCTCTGTCAAATAAATAAATAAAATCTTAAAGAAAAAAAACACTCTACTTTTATTCCTCCCTTTTATGTATTTGATGTTACAGTTTACCTCTTTTTATATTGTACATTATTAACAAATTATTGTGCTATAGTGGTAAGTCTTTTCCTTTAACCTTTATACTAGAATAAAGCAGTTGACACATTACATTATAGTATCAAAGTACTCTGAATTTGACTATACACTTTACCAACCATATTTTGTTTATCCATTCATCTGTTGATGGGTGTTTGGGTTTCTACCTTTTGGATCCCATGAATATAAGTCCTACCTGTAGTTCTAATTGTAGCCGGAAGGGCTAATCAAGCCACAGAAGGATTATACTAAGATGTTATATGATCTATTGTTCCTTTCATCTTTGTTAGAATGGTAAATTTATATAGACATTGAACCCCTAATTAAAGTTCACATCTCAGATAACCCAGTAATGTTAGTAAAAATAGTCATGTGGGTGTGCTGACTCTTTGCCAGTGATAGATACAGCCATTCAGAAATAGACATTATTTGTTTGCTTCTATAACTTAAACATCATCTGGTAACCTTGGTCACATTTTATCTTTCATATGTTGAGTCTGTCCAAAAGTGTTCACTTTGTTTCATCTTATTGCTTTCACACAGGAACTCATAAGTTGGAAGAGGTAACCACTCTTCTGAAGATACAGATATGGTGGGCAAGTAGATGATTCTTGAGACAAGATAGATTTTTCTTGTTCTTGTGAGAAGTACAGTGCTTTTTTGGATACTTTTTGATGTTTTGGTGTGGCGATGATTCCTTTTAGGAGGAGACGAAAAGGGCAGGGGACTGAAGCAAAAGAGACTAGTGGTGCATATAATTTTGAAAGATACCTTAAAAAATTGTTTTTTATTACTGTTTTAAAGTTTTTTTCTAACAAGGAGCTGTGACTTCTTTTTCAGACTGCACTGGCACATTTAGAGTCTCTGGCAGTGGATGTTGAGGTGGCCAATCCGCCTGCCAGTAAGGAAAGCATTGATGGTCTTCCAGAGACCCTTGTTCTTGAAGACCACACTGGTAAGGGCAAAGTTGATCTCTCATGTCAGATAACACATTTCATGTTTTCATATATTATCAATATACCTGAAAGATAAAATACTGACTACTAGAAACTTTCCTTAGTTTTTCTATGGAGCCAGTTTCTGACAAACTTTCACCTAATGGAAGAATATTTTTAATTTATTAAGTCATGGGCTGGAACAAATGTGCCCCAGCCTGCTTTTCTACAAAAGCAGTATGTATTAAATTCCAAATTGTCATGTATTACAGAAACATGTTTGGCAATTACTTTTTCAAAGATGGCTCTTCTGTCTGTCATAGGTATCATCTGTGAGTTAATATGTTGGTTTTCAGTTTTATTAAAATTGAACTCTATGGGATTGATCAGATTATTTTTGATTTTCAGCAATTGGTCAGGAGCAGTGCTGTCCAATCTGTTGCAGTGAGTATATTAAGGATGATATAGCAACAGAGCTTCCCTGTCACCATTTCTTTCACAAACCTTGTGTCTCAATTTGGCTACAGAAGGTGAGTTTTATTTTTACTTTTTTTGAAATTAATATTTTAATAGTTCCTCCTGAAAGTTAGTGATGATAGTATCTTTTAAGCCTATTTTATTCAGCTATATACTTGTAGTACTTTTTAATTAAGTGTTAAAGATTGATTACAACTTAATGATTACAGATTAATGATAATGTGGAACTATTTTACTTTACTAACATTTCTGAAAAACAATATAGATAACACTAATTGCTTGGCATATTCAATCACTTTTGGAAATGATTAAATATCAAAAAATCATTTTAGGATAAATCTAGTAGATCTTTAATCATATCCCTGAAATTTGTGTTTTCAAAAATATCACAAGCAAAAAAAAAAAGCCTTTGGCATCTCTCAAAGTACTGTAATAATATATATATATTCTGCTAATATAAATCAAGGTCTTTGCAAATGTATATGAGAAATATGTAATCACCTACAAGAAACCTCCTATTCCAACTATATATATTCTCCCTAAATATTTACCCAATAATTTTTAACTATATTTGAATTACTTAAGACTCTTTGTTTTTTTCTTATTTAAATCTTCTCTGTGAACTCTGTTTTTACACAAAGTATTTTTATAGGCAGTAAGGTAGAAATTCCCAAATCACTTTCACAGCTTATGTACTTAGGGATATAACTCCCTCTGTTCCCTATAGCCACTCCCTCCCTTCTCCCCTTTTTTCTTCCTCCTCTCCTTCCTCCTTTCCTTTCTTTCCTTTTGCTTTCTTTGCTGTTGCTACCCTTCTACTGCTACTTCATGGTTGTCAAAGTTCTACTTAAGATTTGTAAGATCCAGGAGTAGCAGGCTGAGATGACATCAGGTAGCAGGAGATCAGCTAGATAGCTTATCTAACCATTGCGAACACCTATAAATCCAACAGGAAATTGAAGAGAAGAAGGGCAACAATTCTAGAAACAGAAAATCGATCACTTTCTGAAAGGTAGGACTTGTGGAGAAGTGAATCCAAAGTGACAGGAAGATAGACTTCGGGGGGAGGGGCCAGCTCCCGGCAAGCGGTGGAGCAACGGAGCACAAAATTGGGACTTTTAAAAGTCTGCTCCACTGAGGGACATAGCTCCAGAGGCTAAACCAGGGGGAAGCCCACGCGGGGTCAGCGTAACCCCAGGTCCCCTGGGGTCACAGAAGGACCAGGGGTGTCTGAGTGTCGCAGAGCTTGTAAGTATTAGAGCGGGAAAGCCAGACACGGCGACAAAGCCGAGGAGTGAGCTCTCAATTTGGGCTTACCTTGAACCAGTCGTACGCTGGGTGAGCTCAGAGCGCAGCAGGAGGCCACGGAGACGGAAGCGACTGGGCGCTTTTCTCCAAGTGCCAGCGATTGAGCACTTTCCTCCAAGTGTGACCAGAGGCCAGGGAGACGGGCGGTTGGGCGCTTTTCTCTGAGGGCACACTGAGGAACAGGACCCCGAGCTCTCAGCTCCTCCTGGCCACAGATTGGGAGGCCGCCATCTCCATTCCCGTCCTCCAGAACTCTACGGAAAGCATTCAGGGAACAAAAGCTCCCAAAAGCAAACCCGAGCGGATTACTTAGCCCGGCCCCTGGTAAGGGTGGTGCAATTAATTCCGCCTGGGGCAAAGACACTTGAGAATCACTACAACAGGCCTCTCCCCCAGAAGATCAACAAGAAACCCAGCCAAGACCAACTTCACTCACCAAGAAGAATAGCGGAATTCCAGAGGAGGAGAAAGCAAATCTTATCTGGACAAAATGGCAAGGCGGAAAAACTCACCACAAAAAAAAGAGCAAGAGGAAGTACCGAAGGCTGGGGACCTAATCAATACAGAAATTGGTAATATGACAGATCTAGAGTTCAGAATGACAATTCTCAAGGTTCTAGACGGGCTTGAAAAAGGCATAGAAGGTATTAGAGAAACCCTCTCCGGAGAGATAAAAGCCTTTTCTGGAGAAATAAAAGAACTCAAATCTAATCAAGTTGAAATAAAAAAAGCTATTAATGAGGTGCAATAAAAAATGGAAGCTCTTACTGCCAGGATAAATGAGGCAGAAGAAAGAATTAGTGACATAGAAGACCAAATGACAGAGAATAAAGAAACTGGGCAAAAGAGAGACAAATACTGGACCACAAGGAGAGAATTTGAGAGATAAGTGACACCATAAGATGACACATTAGAATAATTCAATTCCAGAAGAAGAAGAAAGAGGGGAGCAGAAGGTATATTGGAGAGAATTATTGGAGAGAATTTCCCTAATATGGCAAAGGGAACAAACATCAAAATCCAGGAGGTTCAGAGAACCCCCCTCAAAATCAATAAAAATAGGTCCACACCTCGTCACCTGATAGTAAAATTTACAAGTCTTAGCGACAAAGAGAAAATCCTGAAAGCAGCCCAGGAAAAGAAGTCTGTAACATACAAGGGTACATTAGATTGGCAGCGGACCTATCCACAAAGACCTGGCAGGCCAGAAAGAACTGGCATGATATATTCAGAGCACTAAACGAGAAAAACATTTAGCCAAGAATACTATATCCAGCTAGGCTATCATTGAAAATAGAGGGAGAGATAAAAAGCTTCCAGGACACACAAAAACTGAAAGAATTTGCAAACACCAAACCAGCTCTACAGGAAATATTGAAAGGGATTCTCTAAGCAAAGAGAGACCCTAAAAGTAGTGGATCAGAAAGAAACAGAGACAATATACAATAACAGTCACCTTACAGGCAATACAATGGCACTAAATTCATATCTCTCAGTAGTTACCCTGAATGTTATTGGGCTAAATGCCCCAATCAAAAGACACAGGGTATCAGAATGGATAAAAAATCAAAACCCATCAATATGCTGTCTGCAAGAAACTCATTTTAGACCCGAAGACACCTCCAGATTTAAAGTGAGGGGGTGGAAAACAATGTACCATGCTAATGGACATCAGAAGAAAGCTGGGGTGGCAATCCTTATATCATATCAATTAGATTTTAAGCCAAAGACTATAATAAGAGATGAGGAAGGACACTCTATCATACTCAAAGGGTCTGTCCAACAAGAAGGCCTAACAATTTTAAATATCTATGCCCCTAACATGGGAGCAGCCAACTATATAAACCAATTAATAACAAAATCAAAGAAATACATCGACAATAATACAATAATAGTAGGGGACTTTAACACTCCCCTCACTGAAATGGACAGATCATCCAAGCAAACGATCAACAAGGAAATAAAGGCCTTAAATGACACACTGGACCAGATGGACATCACAGATATATTCAGAACATTCCATCCCAAAGCAACAGAATATACATTCTTCTCTAGTGCACATGGAACATTCTCCAGAATAGACCACATCCTGGGTCATAAATCAGGTCTCAACGGTATCAAAAGATTGGGATCATTCCCTGCATATTTTCAGACCACAATGCTCTGAAGCTAGACCTCAATCACAAGAGGAAATTTGGAAAGAACCCAAATACATGGAGACTAAACAGCATCCTTCTAAAGAATGAATGGGTTAACCAGGAAATTAAAGAAGAATTGAAAAAATTCATGGAAACAAATGATAATGAAAACACAACGGTTCAAAATCTGTGGGACACAACAAAGGCAGTCCTGAGATAAAAATATATAGTGGTACAAGCCTTTCTCAAGAAACAAGAAAGGTCTCAGGTACACAACCTAACCCTACACCTAAAGGAGCTGGAGAAAGAACAACAAAGAAAGCCTAAACCCATTAGGAGAAGAGAAATCATAAAGATCAGAGCAGAAATCAATGAAATAAAAACTAAAAAAACAATAGAACAAACCAATGAAACTAGGAGCTGGTTCTTTGAAAGAATTAATAAGATTGACAAACCCCTGGCCAGACTTATCAAAAAGAAAAGAGAAAGGGCCCAAATAAATAAAATCATGAATGAAAGAGGAGAGATCACAACCAACACCAAAGAAATACAGTTATAAGAACATACTATGAGCAACTCTATGCCAACAAATTCGACAATCTGGAAGAAATGGATACATTTCTAGAGACATATAAACTACCACAACTGAACCAAAAAGAAATAGAAAGCCTGAACAGACCCATAACCAGTAAGGAGATTGAAACAGTCATCAAAAATCTCCAAACAAACAAAAGTCCAGGGCCAGACGGCTTCCCAGGGGAATTCTACCAAACATTTAAAGAAGAATTAATTCCTATTCTCCTGAAACTGTTCCAAAAAAATGGAAATGGAAGGAAAACTTCCAAACTCATTTTATGAGGCCAGCATCACCTTGATCCCAAAACCAGACAAGGATCCTGTCAAAAAAGAGAATTACAGACCAATATCCTTGATGAACACAGATGCGAAAATTCTCACCAAAATAGTAGCCAATAGGATCCAACAGTACATTAAAAGGATTATTCACCACGACCAAGTGGGCTTTATTCCAGGGCTGCAAGTTTGGTTCAACATCCTCAAATCAATGTGATACAATACATTAATAAAAGAAAGAATAAGAACCATATGATACTCTCAATAGATGCTGAAAAGGCATTTGACAAAGTGCAGCATCCCTTCCTGATTAAAACTCTTCAAAGTGTAGGGGTAGAGGGCACATACCACATATTATCAAAGTCATCTATGAAAAACCCACTGCAAATATCATTCTCAGTGGAGAAAAACTGAAAGCTTTTCTGCTAAAGTCAGGAACACGGCAAGGATGTCCGTTATCACTACTGCTCTTCAACATAGTACTGGAAGTCCTAGCCTCAGCAATCAGACAACAAAAAGAAATTAAAGGCATCCAAATCGGCAAAGAAGAAGTCAAACTATCACTCTTTGCAGATGATATGATACTATATGTGGAAAACCCAAAAGGCTCCACTCCAAAACTGCTAGAACTTGTACAGGAATTCAGTAAAGTGTCAGGATATAAAGTCAGTGCACAGAAATCAGTTGCATTTCTTTACACTAACAACAAGACAGAGGCACGAGAAATTAAGGAGTCAGTCCCATTTACAATTGCAGCCAAAACCATAAGATACCTAGGAATAAACCTAACCAAAGAGGCAAAGAATCTATACTCAGAAAACTATAAAATACTCAGGAAAGAAACAAAGAAATGGAAAAATGTTCCATGCTCATGGATTGGAAAAACAAATACGGTGAAAATGTCTATTTTACCTAAAGCAATCTACACATTTAATGCAATCCCTATCAAAATCCCATCCATTTTTTTCAAAGGAATGGAACAAACAATCCTAAAATTTATATGAAACCAGAAAAGACCTCGAATAGCCAAAGGAATATTGAAAAAGAAAGCCAAAGTTGGTGGCATCACAATTCCAGACTTCAAGCTCTATTACAAAGCTGTCATCATCAATACAGTATGGTACTGGCACAAAAACAGACACATAGATCAATGGAACAGAATAGAGAGCCCAGAAATAGACCCTCAACTCTATGGTCAACTAATCTTCGACAAAGCAGGAAAGAATGTCCAATGGAAAAAGACAGCCTCTTCAACAAATGGTGCTGGGAAAATTGGACAGCCACATGCAGAAAAATGAAATTGGACTATTTCCTTAGACCACACACAAAAATAGACTCAAAATGGATGAAGGACCTTAATGTGAGAAAGGAATCCATCAAAATCCTTGAGGAGAACACAGGCAGCAACCTCTTTGACCTCAACCGCAGCAATTTCTTCCTAGGAACATCGCAAAGACAACAGAAGCAAGGGCAAAAATGAACTATTGGGATTTCATCAAGTTCAAAAGCTTTTTCCCGGCAAAGGAAACAGTGAACAAAACCAAAAGACAACTGACAGAATGGGAGAAGATATTTGCAAACGACATATCAGATAAAGGGCTAGTATCCAAAATCTATAAAGAGCTTAGCAAACTCAACACCCAAAGAACAAATAATCCAATCAAGAAATGTGCAGAGGACATGAACAGACATTTCTGCAAAGAAGACATCCAGATGGCCAACAGACACATGAAAAAATGCTCCACATCACTCGGCATCGGGGAAATACAAATTAAAACCACAATGAGATACCACCTCACACCAGTCAGAATGGCTAAAATTAACAAGTCAGGAAATGACAGATGCTGGCGAGGATGCGGAGAGAGGGGAACCCTCCTGCACTATTGGTGGGAATGCAGGCTTGTGCAACCACTCTGTTAAAACAGTGTGGAGGTTCCTCAAAAAACTGAAAATACAGCTACCCTATGACCAAGCGATTGCACTACTGGGTATATATCCTAAAGATACAAACGTGGTGCTCCAAAGGGGCACGTGCACCTGAATGTTTATAGCTGCAATGTCCACAAAAGCCAAACTATGGAAAGAACCTAGATGTCCATCAACAGATGAATGGATAAAGAAGATGTATATATACACAATGGAATACTATGCAGCCATCAAAAGAAATGAAATCTTGCCATTTGCGACGACGTGGATGGAACTAGAGGGTATCATGTTAGCGAAATAAGCCAATCGGAGAAAGACAACTATCATATGATCTCCCTGATAGGAGGAAGTGGAGATGCAATGTGGGGGTGTTGGGGGTAGGAAAAGAAAAAATGAAAGAAGATGGGATTGGGAGGGAGACAAACCATAAAAGACTCAATCTCAAAAAACAGACTGAGGGTTGCTGGGGTGGGGGGATGGAGAGGGTGGTGGGGATATGGACATTGGGTAGGGTATGTGCTATGATGAGTGCTGTGAAATGTGTAAACCTGGCGATTCACAGACCTGTACCCCTGGGGATAAAAATATGTTAAATGTTTATTTTAAAAAATAAATAAATAAATAAAAGATTTGTAAGATCCAGTGTGGAAATGTTCACCATTCCATTATAAAATCTAAAATTTCTCTCTTGGCTTTCAAGGCGTTCTGTGATCTAGCCCACAGCCTGTCTGTTCACATTGACTCCTGTGTACCTTTGTTTATATTTGCTTAGCTGGTGTAGTTTTCCCCCATACCATCTGCAGGATTAGATGATCTAGGCAGGACCAGCTTAAATTCCACCTTTTCTGTCCTTCGTATCTCCTTTATTTAAATTCCTATGTATTTAAAATCCCACGTATTAAGTATCTAAGCCTTAAGAAGGATCTAAATGTTCCTGCTATGTCAGGAACTGGTAGATGACTTGTATATTTTCTCATTTAATTCTCACAATAACTCTGGGACATATCCTTATTCATTTTCCAGTGATTGTTACTCATCCAGGGCTACACAGCTGGTATAGGGTTAATTGAGACCACATTCATCTGACTAAAATGTTCTTCGGGCTCAGTCCATGTGGCTGGTGCACAATGAATGCTTGTTAAATCCTTGAATTATAACATTTTATATGTTGTACAGCTTTGAATTATCGTTGACTTGGTTATAACCCAAAGTAATAATCTCCTCGGTCTCTTTCCGTCAAGAAAAAGCCTTTCCTCTGGGGAAAAGATCCCCAAGATACAAATCTTTGTTCAACAGCATGATTTCTGTCAGGGCTATCTCTTTGGGGGAAGAAACATATTCTCAAGAGGATAATCGTCGCCAGGTGACAGACACATCTTTATAATCTTTGGTCCAAAGATGTACTCACAGTATGACTGTTTTCCCTCTCCCATCTTTCTTCCTAGTTCTGCTGTTGATTTCTTTCATCATTTAGAAGGCACTTAACTCCCCATATCTTTTTTAAAAGGGGTTATATGGTTAATAAAGAAGGTCTGAAGTCTGTTTTGACACACAGTTAAGTGAGGCTTCGGCATATGTAAGGGAAGTCCGTTCTAGGGGTTGGTTTGGTGTTACAAATACGTGAATTGATTTGATTAGGTCTGTGGTTTCTCTAATGTAAGCATCACGGAGTAAATATAAAAACTGACTCAGTTCGGGTGAGGACGTGTGCTTTGACTTCTTGCTCACATTGCACAGCACTGAGCAAGGAATGTAGTAGACTCTCCACTAATCCTGAGTGAAAGATGACTGACCTGAAAGATACAAACATGATTAGGAGATGCTGTTCACCCTCAAAGAAATTAGAATCTGATTGGGATAAAGAGGAAATAGCATCACACTTTTCCTTCTCTGGATTATGTGGGTTTGAAGTTCATTCAGTTTTTGTTTTTAAGTTATTTGATATGATTTTAGGATAACAGATACCATTGTTTCTTTGGGGTTTTTGGGGTTTTTTCCTTGCTAAGATACTGTGTGGCAGTTAAGACCTTTTCTTTGGCTCTGACCTTGTTTTTCTCCCCTCCAGTCTGGAACGTGCCCCGTGTGCCGCCGCCACTTCCCACCCGCTGTCATCGAAGCATCGGCAGCTCCATCCTCTGAGCCTGACCAGGAGGCCCCCCCCTTCCGCTGACAGCTCTGCAGAAGCCCCTTAAACTTTAACCCTTGAATGAGATCACTATGTCTAAAAGTCAATCTGCAAATTCCTTCTCAATTTGATGTGCAAATAATTATATATAAATAAATTTAAAATCCTATATATAGTCTATACCATAGTTTAGAAAGAAGAATATTAACCTTTCTAAACTAAATTTAGGTTTGCAGAAAGTACTAAACATTTTCAAGCTGAATGTTGAAGCAGTGCATCCATTTTCTTTCGTTGAACATGTTGGTATTAATTGTAAAGTCAAGCTTACCAGTTAACTCTCTCCAGAAGAAATAATCATGTATGTGGCACATATTACTGGTTTTGTCTGAAGTACTGCCACTAAGTGATTATAATTAAACTCTCCTATTTGCATCAAATGTGAAGACTGTGATCACAACAGTAGTAAAATTTGGTTTCATTGGAAATAAAAAGAATTCTAAAACATGCTTTTTTCATTGGTCGCTTTGCTTTTGCTACATCAGAACCTCTTGGTTCATAATACTGAGTGGTTTTTTTAGGAAGGTGTCTAATCTTCCATCTTTGTTTAAAATTAGGACTTTTTGAATCGAAACAAAGGCCAAAATTTTGGCTTAATCACCACAAAATTTTAAGATCTTAAATGTAATCCCCTTGGAATGGTTAGATAGTAAAATAACTTTTTTTTTCCTTTTTCTTAATGGTGGATGTGCTTAAAGTAAGGTTAGCAAAGCATGAGTGTTTTACTATGGTTGGTGCTTGAGGTAAGGTTAGTAAAGCTTATGAACAATCTAGTGTGCTCAGTGTTTGATATGATGAGGTGAATTAGATGGCCTTATGAAATCCTTTTTCCCTTTCTACCTGGTTACAATTATACTTGAGAACATTCATGGCACATTTCTTAGATAAGTGTTGTTTTTAATTTATAAATTTATAAATATGCTTGTTTATAAATTTATAAATATTAGATACAGTTTATTTAAAGTAATTTTGGTTCAGAAATATTTTAGAAAGTCTGAAAACATGCATCACGTGTTTAAACATTCATTCTGTTGTATCCCAAGAGGAAATCTGATCCTTAAAAAACTGGAAGGTTAATTGTACCAACTTGTGTAAAGCATAAAATTAATGGGGTATAGGACAGATTTGGCCACATCTTTTTATAACATATCTAAACCTTACTGTGTTATAATTTATTTCTTTAAAGTATTCCTGAGTAAGGATTATTCATAGTACATTTGTTTCTTTATACTAATTTATTTTGATAAAATTATTCACCTGGAAATAAATAATAAAAATGGGTTGTTTCATATTAAACCAAATTAAGCCCTGGGTGAAAAAGGAGTAGAGTGATCACCTAGTGACTGTGAGCAGAACTGAACATGTAACATGGTTCCTTTCTAATTTTCCTTTCTCTAAAAGAGGAAAGAAGACCCTGACCCCAGATTTGCCCTCCAAAAGAGTTCCGTTCAGATTCTTCTATAAAAGTGAGGAAATGAGCTTTGTTTAGTTGTTTTTTATGGGAAATTTGGCCTTTAGGGTCATCCATAATTATATAACTCCAAAATAAGATTGCATAGCTTTCCGTTTAGGTGATCACACCCAATAGGCAAATATGTACAAAGATGGACATAATATTTAACTTAAAATTTGGTTTCATTGGAAATAACTTACAGTTACTTACATTTAACTTACAGATGTGATTTGCTATCAGTACCAGAGAATGATAGGTGTTAGAATACCGCATCTGAGCAAGTAAAATTGTAAAGCATGTAGCGAGTATACATCCATCTGAGTAGTACATTGGTAATTTAATTGGGACACATAAGAGGAATATTTATATGGCTTCCCAAATGCAAAATTATATTTTATTTGTGTAATTTCTCTGAGTATTTATATTCCATCTCTTCGTTCTTAAATGAATTTTCACTGTTGGCACATTTGAGGCTTAACTATAAGGAACATAACACTTGCATTCTAATTTTTGCATATATTGTAAATGTGTGTCTGGTATTTACAGCAAAATACTGTGTATCCTTTTATGGGTAAAACAAAACTGAACATTGCATGCATGTAATGTGGTGACTTTGTAATTTAGAGGTTCTTTGGGGCTTCTGTGACTTTGGAAATGCCTACATTCAGGCCTTAATGTTGCATTAGCTAGCATGTTTTCCTTCTGATGTATATAGTCACTGTTGTATAAACTAATCTTTGCTTGTTTTCTACTCTGTGATCTTGCCATACCATATTTCATTGACGATCAGTTAGTGTCGAGGAGTCAAATCAGATTAAACTTAATTCTCATGTGTATATTGTGGAACTTTGTGGCTAGTGTGATTTTTAATTTTTTTTCTTTCTTTTTCTTGTTTCTTTTTTGTTGTTGTTTGTTTCCTTTAAGTAATATTGATCAGTTGTGATGCTTACTGGTTAAACTGACATTGCTACAGATTGCTCTGTAGTAAGCCACAAATTATATTTAGGCAGGTTTTTTTTTTTTTAAGATTTTTTATTTTCTTAAATTTGACAGAGATCACAAGCAGGCATAGAAGCAGGCAGAGAGAGAGAGAGGTGAAGAAGCAGGCTCCCCACTGAGCAGAGAGCCTGATGTGGGACTCGATCCCAGGACTCTTCATGACCTGAGCCGAAAGCAGAGGCTTTAACCCACTGAGCCACCCAGGCGCCCCGTTGTATTTAGGCTGTATTAAGGGATGTCAGTTTTCTTCTCCTAGTAGCAGCTGTCCCAAAGAAAATATTTCTTCTTTGCCTGTTAAGATTTAGCTATTATATGCCAGTTGTTAAGAGGTTTTGGTTCCAAACTCAACCAGTAGTGTTGAGAGCTTAACTTAAGATAGCAGTTGTACTTTTTGCTTTCCATCTGTTTCTATCCTTCATTCTTGGCTCCCTACTATCTATAAACAGCTGCTGTGAAGGAGAAAAGTTGAATAAGAGTTGGCTTAAAATTTTTTTAAGAAAATTGAAATTTTAGGATTTTCATTGTAACAAGTTAATATAAGCAGAAGTGGAAAAGTTCAGATACCAAAGTATTGTTTGATTCTCTGAAATACTGTTTGGATCCTTTTGGAAAAGTTAAGAATATATGAAGGTAAATTTAGGAATAAGTATAAATATTGATAAAAATATTGTTTCTCTTCTCTATGTTAAGTGACTTGACCTAATAATTCTATTTTTTTTTTAAACATTTTCTTCTTCCTTGTAATATGAATGCTGATATTTAAAGGTAGATCCATGTGGTTTTCTATTGTGTTCCTTAATTGTTTATCTCGGAGCTAACTAACTCTTAAGATTATTTGTGATTTGGATTTATATATAAGCTGTTAAATATATATGAACTGTTAAAATGGAATGCAAGTTTTCAAAAGCCCAGGTCTAAATGTAATGATTGGTTTATTGTTCAACAACCCCAGTCCATCATTTTCCGTGTAAATCATAAACAATAAACAGGATGTACTCAGTGGCCATTTCTAATATTTAATTGTGCAGTCACATCACTTCTATAATTTAAACCCCTGGAGGATTTAGCATTAATGGCAAAGAACACAGCTATTAAGAAAGTCTGGAATAGTCTCCTGGGCACATGATTTCATTGTCCTTGAATTGTGGCCTAAGAAGGCCCTAACAAATAGCCCAGCTATACGGAAGTGGTTGATGGACTTTGGAAAGGGCTCTGAAGGAGTAGTCACTGCCCTCTCCTACCTAATGTTCTCAGCAGTCCTGTGGGTTCAGCAGAGCCTGATTTCCACACTGACTCAGGACTGCAGAAATCCTCAGAGTTCCCAGATAGAGGCCCACCTTCCTTCAGTGGCTTCCTCCAGATCAGGCATAGGACTGTCACCAAATCTACCTGTTGAGGAAGATTTCTCATGACTTCCAAAGGCTTCAAAGTCTTCACCCATTTCAGAAGGGTAAATTGAGTGCTGATAGGTTATGCGCACATTAAATTAAAAAACAAATCATTTTGTTTAGAAGCTTTAGAATGTTTAGAATTGTGATTCCCACTTAATAGAATAGATACGTACTAGAAAACTAGTCTTGGAGCTAGAGACAGAGTTGGCACACCTCTTCCCTAATGCCTTATCCTTTTATAATTGTCATGTGATTTTTATCCAACCCCTGCTTCCAGAGTTAGAGCCACTCAGCACTCCTACAAGGGATGGATTTCATTGTTAGAAGTGTGTCACCTACATGTGTTGCACACTTGTGACACTGGACAGAAAGGTCCTGTCTCTTCAGTGTGGTCACCTCTTCACAACTTCCCTCAGATTTCACATTTTTCTCAGTTCTTAAATGTTGTGCATTCCAGCCCAACCTGGCATTGGTCCTTCCAATCCCTCTCTTAAGTACACTGCTCAGCACTAAACACGGTTCTTCTGTGGTCTGACAGTAGGGTCCAGAGGCTGTATTGCTGACGTCAGAATGACTCTCGTGACTGTTAGGATTGGAGTATGTTGATGTTATGTTACCAACACCATTAGATAAACATATCCTACTGTTACCTCTTGTTGAACTTTACAGGCATTGCTGGTAAGCCAAATCCATTCCTTAAATTACTTAAACAATTTCTCGGTAACCTAATCGAAGCACTGAATTTGTCCTTATTTGATATAACTTGTAAAGGTCCTTAGGAAGGAGTTCTGATTCTTTCTCTTTGCCTTGTGTCTGTTTCAGTTTTGATGAAGCATGCCTTTAGTATTTAGTGGCTTTGTTCTAGTTAATGATAAATAAGATGAAATGCATGCAGACCCTCGTGAGAATGCCACCGTAGGCTGTGCGCCAGGTGACTTGGATCCGTTAATCAGTACTTTAGGTCCAGTTGTTGAAGCAACTGCCAGTCACTGATGTGCTTAGGGTTCTTCACCATAAGAAATTTTATCATGTATGGCAGACAAGCAGATTGCACTGTCTATGGAAGTAGCCTAATCTGCTAATATATTAAGTCAATAACGGAAATGAAGTTAGCTGGAAATGCCTTTATTCTTAGTGAAACGACACTACCTCCTTTTCCAACTGCTCACATGCCATCTGTTTATTAATCCACCCTAGAATTTGATAAGTGATAATATCAAGCTCATTTTTATAATTTTTTAAAGATTTTATTTATTTATTTGACAGAGATCCCAAGTAGCCAGAGAGAGAGAGGGAAGCAGGCTCCCTGCTGAGTGGAGAGCCCTATATGGGGCTCAATCCCAGGACCCTGAGATCATGACCTGAGCCGAGGGCAGAGGCTTTAACCCACTGAGCCGCCCAGGCGCCCCTCATTTTTATAATTTTTATAATCTATTTTTCCTCTCAAAAATTGTGATATTTGATGTAACATGACCTTGACAAGACACTTAGTTGTTCTGCTTGTTTTCTCTATAAAGTACTGAATCTAAATTACAGGTTCAGTATTACTGTTTATGCATGGGAAAAGGTTTGAAAAAAAGTTCTTTGTTGATATACAAAGTCATGGAGAAATATGGTTGCTTTCCATCATTGTTTGATTTTGGCACTACCTTTGAGGATTGATGAACATTTCAGATGAAAATCATAAAAGCATCTTAATCTCTCAGAAGTTGAAAGATTTTGACAAGGGAACTTTATTAAAATAAGTAAAATTTAACCAATAATAATTTTACTAAAAGGTGGCATGCCTGGCTATGGCAATTTATTCCATCTTGTATTTTTAGTTCATAATCAATATACAGTTTTTATAGTGAAAATTAGAAGGAGATCTTTATCTTTTTAGAAAGATAGCACCTGTTAGCCATTCACTGCAGTAAGAAATTCTGTAAGCATTGTGATTTCTTTTGATTCTAACACAGCATCTCTTCTTACTAAGATTCATTGAGGAAAATGCATTTTTATTTATACTTTTTAGTTATTTATTTGAGAGAGAGCATGAGCTGGGTGCGGGGCTAAGGGAAGGGGCAGAGGGAGAGGGAAAAG